TATTTCTGTAGAGGGCACCGAGACACTCACTCCCTGACTCATCACAACTCCTGAGACTGCAGACATGCCCCTCGGCCTTCCAGAACACAGTGGCGGAAAACAGTCCACGTTCCACTAAAAACAAGCCTTGGTATAAAACAAATGCTGTCTCTTTTTGCATAGAAGTCGGTGCCCTGAGGGTGTAGGTAAATCCCACCAGAAATCAGTGGAGGCGTGTGTCTTTGGGGACACATCTGTAGCCTCAGACGGTCAGATCTCAGAGGGGTCAGAGGGCGTGTGCTGGGACGTTGGACGTGACCCTCCAACTCCAATCAGCCAGGATGGGCAGTAAAACCTGGGAGTCAGAGCACGGCAAGGGAACAAGAGCAGGCCAGGGAGAGGTACGCTGGGCTGGGGCAGCAAAGCGGATCAGCATCCTAGGTGGACCCAGTCTCAGACCAGATGCAGCAGCCAGGCCCGGGGACGATGCTCTGGGACGAGGCCCTGGGATGATGCTCTGGGACCAGGCCCTGGGACCGGGCTGCGGAGCTCGGCGGGGGGGGCACGTGGATTCCAGGCGAGCTCAGGCCCACAAAGACGCTGCCCCTAGATGGGAGCCCCCTGCAGGCCGTGAGCTTTCTTCTCCGCTCCCGTGGACCCCTCCATGCCAGCTGGCAGGAGGCTTGCCAAATAAATGTGCAAATGACATACTGCACGGACAGATGGTAGCCAAAGGTCAGAGTTTAAAACAGAGAAGCCAAAAATGAAGATGAGAAAGCCAGGCCGTACACAGGGGTTTGTGTAATTACAGGTCCTCTCTCCACCACAGGAGGGGCACTGGCTTAGAGGGGAGGCCTCCAGGGGTGTCTGGGTCCACAGGAGTGAACAGGGCTGGATTGCAAACGCTGAGACAGACAAGGGAGCCGGGCTGAGCAGGCGGGGCCGACGGGCTACAACAAGGCCAGGGCTCCCTGGCACTGCCAGAGACTTCAGGTCGGCTCTGCAGCCTCAGCTATAGGATGGGCTCCCACGGGAGCGTGCATGTGTCTGGGTCTGGAGTGGCCTGCGAGAAGAGCTTGCGTCCACAGCCTCACAGAAGTGGGGCCACTTCCGACTCCTGGGACCCCGGCAATGTGATGTCTGGGACAGGCAGAGCCCGGAGGCCAGGCTGTCCCCACAGGGAGGGGAAGTGAGCTCAAAGTGCAGGCTGTCACCTGGGGGATGGCCATGCTGGGGTCTGGAATGGCGCTCTGTGGGGTCTGCGCCCACCTGAAGGACCCTGCAGGGAGGCTGGACGGGCATGGACGGGACCACAGCGAGGTGACAGAGTGGAGGAGCGTGGGGAGCAGAGGCATCGGTCAAGCACGCCCTGAGCCTGTGTGTGGAGAGCGGGCAATTCCATTCCCCGGGGAACGAGACAGTCAGCACCCAGCTCGGGCTGGACAGCTGAGCAGCCGTCCTGGGCCATTCTGGCCCGGGACAAGGTCTAAGGGGCACTGCACTGGACCATCTAGGGCTCTCGGTGCTGCTCAACGTGCGGAGGCCCGAGAACCCCCAGGCGGGGCGGGGGCGCAGACGCGCACTACGGAGCGGGAGAGCTCCGGCTCTGGATAACACAACCACGCTCCAACCGTCCTCCGCTCCACTCCAGCGGGGACATCCCGAGCCGCAGTGTGCTGTCATGCCTGAAGCATCTCCCTCCATGCACCACCCTCTCCCTGCACACTCCGCTATCTCCCTCACCCCCACCCTCTCCCACAGCCCCCCACCATCTCCCTCACTCCCCACCATGTCCCACAGCCCCCC